TGTATGTGTATATATATATATATATATATAAAAAAACTGGTAAAACTTCTTGTGGTCTTGTTTGAAGATCCTTTGGGAAAGAAAGGAAATACTAAGAATACTAATGTTATATGGGATGTAGTATCCAGATATGTGTGGAAAAAAAAAAAGAGAAAGCCTGATCTTCCCTTTTCCAAAACAAACAGCAGTTTGAATAATGCCCTGCCTAGTCCAAATCTTTGTAATCTGTTATATTGATTGATAAGAGTGCAGATAACATAAGCAGCCACACTCTGTTATCTCTCTTACACTATAAAACCTAGTGGTGATCTTTTCTTGTGGTAAAACTGGGTGTGCAATAACTATTTCTTTTTTGTAATTATCATCCATGTTTTCACATTCTAATCTCCAAACATGGTGTTACTGGTCTGAGGTCATGTCTTCAATTTCTTCTGATTGCTGTACCTTCCCTTTCAATTAAGGAAATATTTCAGCCTCAGGATGGAAAAAAGGTCTTGTGGTATTGCTGTGGTCCAACAGTTTATGATGCTTCTCACATGGGACATGCCAGGTACTGCAGTTCCTTATTTTGATATAGGTAGTAACAGTGCCTACTGGAAGCAAAAGATTAATAGAAAAAGGTATTTTATTTAGACTAGTGCATTACTAGAAAATAGTCTTGTTAGACTCAATGCTTGAGACTTTAGAAGTATGTTAATATGTCATTGTGTGATTAAAAACTTACTGGTTGATGAGGGAAAATTAAAACTGCTGTAAAATTATTGACTCTAAGATTAAAATAGTTTGTGCATAGAATAGAAATACACTTGAGGTGTTCACTAAAAACACCCCTATATCTTTTATGTTTTTAGGTCATACATCTCATTTGATATCCTGAGAAGAATCTTGAGGGATTATTTTAAATATGATGTTTTCTATTGTATGAATGTCACAGATATTGATGATAAGGTAAGGTCTTTTTAAATCGCGATCTAAAACACTGTACTTTGAGCATGGAAGTCAGAGAGTATTGTCAAATTGCCATTTGATAAGCCAAGATAAATCTTAACACTTACTAACTTAGACATACATTTTGTCCACAAAGTCATTGACTTTTTTCAGTTTTGTACCGTTCCTATGGTAGCAAAACCTGTACTCTTGCATATAAATAAGCATTGTCATAAATAATGAAGACTAGGCATTTTACAAAGAAACTTATGTTATTTGCCTGTTGTTGAGATACCTAATTAACTCATGGTAGCTGATTATGTATAGCGTGCTTAATTTGTATTACTGCATGTAATTCTTGTAGCTTGTTAAATTTATAGGGATTCTGAAATGCCTTTGGTATGTAATAGATTTTATTTGCACTTTGCATAACTATATGTCACCTCACAAAAATATTTTCATGTTTCTGCTTTGTAGATAATCAAGAGAGCAAGACAAAATTACCTCTTTGAACGGTATAGAGAAAACAAATCAGCACCAGATCAGCTACTTGAAGATGTTAAAACTGCCTCAGAGGTGGGCATGGTATTTAATCCCTGCTAGTGTCTTAGGTTTTTACTCAATAATGTAGCAAAGCACCTAAAAAATGCCTCTGACTTTGCTACCTCCTTAACCTTTCTGCTTGTTTCAGTTAATCTATTGAACTGGCACAACACAAATTAGAAATGTTACTGGAACTGCACATCACTTTGATTTTCCATTGGTTTAGAATTCACAAGAACTATCCGTGTAAAAGGCATGTCTGATTTTTATGTCTGTAGAACCTGTTTGTGAATGCATGCATATTGTTGTTGGGGTATTGGGGAAAAAGTTCAAAAAGCATTTGGATGTTTGTGTGTTAGAATTCAAATTTTTAAAAAAACCCCTTTAAAATAGTTTTTAAACGGTGATATGTTCATTATATTTTAAAGCTTGTAAGACTTCTCTTTCGTATTGTTGATGGCCTGGGAAAGAGCAAAAAGTCTCCAAAGCTTTAGGGATTTACTAAATTGTGTATGCTGGACTGAAGGTGGGGGAAGGTGATTTTCTGGTCATTTTTAGAACAACAGATCACAGAGGGATTATCAGTCTAATGAATTGAATAGGAGGCCTGGAAATTTCCCCTCCTGGGAATAGGAGGCCTGGAAATTTTGACCAACTATCATTGCCTGACATACTTTCTAAACATGGCATTTAATCTCTCTGTGTTTCACGTTACAGCTTCTCCTTTTCAGATTTGTGATAATCAACTGTGTAATTAACCGTGATCAACTGCATAGGCAATGAAAATTACTAAACAGCACTAATGATGATGTACTAATTTATAAAGTCCTTCTGAAAAACTGAATTCTGATGTGAACTAAATTCTTTTGACTTCATCTTCTGATGAGGAGTATGTTTCAGTAGTTTGGTACCAAAGCTTTATATGTGGCATAATGTGTTGTTGATCACTAGCAAGGTACTATGTGGCTAAGATAATATATTGTATATGGAATATAGTGCTGCTGTACTGCAAGTTGGTTTCTAAATTTTCTTTTACTTGTAGCTCTTTTCAGTTAAATTAAATGAGACAACAGACCCAGATAAGAAACAAATGTTGGAAAGAATTCAAAATGCAGTGAAGTCTGCTTTTGACCCTCTACAAGAAGCTGTGCAAGCAAAACTCCCTGCAGAAGAGATCAACAGATGTCATGAGGTCAGTTTGAGCTCCTTTTAAAATTATATTTGGCTTATAATTGTTAGGGGTTTTAAAAACAATATTTAGCTGGTTAGTAGTTCCCTGAAACATTATAAAAATTTTTATTCATAAAAAGAGGAATGGCGAGCCTGAGGACTCCTTAGTACTTTGCATTCAATATAGGAAATTTGATCCTTTAATTCAACTATATCGTTTTTGGATGTTGCTTTTAATCAATGAATTTTTTTTTCCCACCCCCCTCCCACTGTGATAATTACTCAGTGATTTTTACCTTTCTAGCAGGGATTTTTCTCTGGCGTATATTTAGACTTTCTCTTTGACTTTTTTTTTGTGATGAATTAGTTTCAGTATAAATCAGTGAACATGAATTTATGACATTCCATTCCTGGTGGCAGTTTTCTACACAAGTGTTTCCGTCTCTGATCAGAGAAGAAAATACATCCCAAAAATAATGCTCAGGATAATTTTTATCCAAAGACCGTTACATTTAGTGGCAATAATCCTGTTGACTTTATTGGGCTTTGGTACTATCCCAGTAACGAAGTCAGTCAATATAACTACTGTCTTTTAGTAATTGGTTTCCACTTTCATCTTTTCTTGCTTTCAGATTATTTGTGATAATTACTGTAGGAAGCATAGGTGCTCCCTTCTTGAGAAGACTCTCTCTCTAAATTATCTTTTAAATCTTTTTTAAAAAGTCCAGCTATTCTAATATCAAGTGCCTTTATAGAAGTGTATGCTGAATTTTAAAAACAACTAAACTCTAAGCAATCACACCTTCTGGGCTATATCCTATTAAAAAAAAAAGTAATCTTTGAATATAAGACTGAAATGTATCCTTGCTGATGTTCAAATTACTTTTTCAAACACTTCTGCAATGTGCACAGTAAGGTTTCTGTTAGGATTATGCAGTAGTAATGGGGGAAATGGATGATGTGATATAACTGCAGGTCTCATCTGGTATTTACAGCATAAATTCCACATACATATTTAAGTGCTTGATATTAAAATAGATACCACTTATAAGTTTATCTTCCTTCCTCTGTTTATTTAATCCATATTTGTGAAGGGCAATATGATAAAAATCTGGTAGAAGCACAGATTACTCTGTATTCATACCCAAGTGTCTTTTTCCTTAAGCAAACCTCTCTGTTCAGAATAAGATCTTACTGCAGAGTTTAAACAGGGCAAGTAAGTCTTTGATCAGTTTCACTTACAATTATTGTTTTATAGATACTGTTGGAAGAAGCCAAAGATTTGCTGTCTGACTGGTTGGACACAAAATTTGGCAGTCAGGTGACTGACAATTCCATATTCTCAAAGCTCCCCAAATTCTGGGAAGGGGAATTTCATAAAGATATGGAAGCACTCAATGTAAGTAAACTGTTTTCTGTTCTAAAAGTGTATGTTCCATCCCTCATAATACCCAGAACATAATTTAGCTCCTTAATAACTTTCAAAAACCTCATATTTCAGCCTTATTGATAAAGTATTTCCTTGAATGTGAACAGGTAGCTGTTAAATTAGCACCTGTTCTGATTCCATCCCAACGATCTTAAATCCATTGTGCATGTTACCAGAGCCAGTTAACTGGTGCTCAGGTTTGATGTGTGCACTTCTTCCCTTCCCCTTGGTGTAACATGGGTTTATAATCACAAACTGATCCAGAATTTTGAGGTAGAGTCTGTTAGCTGCCCAAGAGAGCCAAGAGAGCATTTAGACTGACTACTTACAGTCTTCAGCCACTAAGAAATTATGTGATGATAACAATCAAGGACAGATTTGTCTGTTACAGATTAAATGCTGTGTCACATGCAATGGTTCAGATCAGTGAAGGTTTATTTATTTACCTGCAAGTCAGAGGAATTTACTGCCTGTTCTGTCAGAAGTGCAGTAAGTGGTAGAGCTGACATCTGCAGTAGTTTGTTGTTAACGTTACCTTAAAGGCTGAGGAAAAAATGGCCACAGCACATTGTTTCAGAGCAGAAAGCTTGAAACAGGAGCCTTAAATTTAATTGTCACTTGCTTTTGAGGCAATTTTTAACCAATATATAATATATATATAGAGTGCATATTTTAATATGTATAAATGTTTTTATATAAAATTCTACTTTTTATCTATAGGTTTTACCTCCAGATGTTTTAACACGGGTTAGTGAATATGTGCCAGAAATTGTGGATTTTGTGAAAAAGATTGTGGATAATGGTTATGGGTAAGTTTGCTACTGGATAATTTTGTTGTGCACTTATATTGTATCAGAGCTAGAATGACTGCTTTCAGCACTTAACTGTGAACTATCTTCTCTGTTTTCATATGCAATAGTAGTCTTTTCCAGAAGTAGTGTTTCATCAAATACAGAAACTTCAGGTTCTTTTGCAAAAGACCTGTTATTTCTGACCTGATGAAAATGTTCTCTTTTATACTTAATGATGTCTTACAAGGAGGGAAGTTAGATTATTAAATTTATAGGGTGAAATGAGGATTTCATTAAAATGGTCAAAGTCTCATTCACCTGAACTGTGTTTGACTCCTGGCCTTCAGGAAGGGGTTTCAAAAATGGATGCCTGAGTAGATGGCTAGAAATCAGTTGTAAATAACAAAAGGTAAAAAATAATCATGAACTGTTCTTCTGCAATTGTCTAATATTGGTGAAAATCAATACTCTAGAAGTTCCTAATTATTATGGTAGATTCCAGTCTGAAATTTTTGAGGTCTTTTTCTGTTAGTAGCCTCGATTTTTTGAAACGGATGTGTTCTTATTGTTAAAAAAGCAAACCTGTGGTTCAGACTGCCATAATTTCTCTTGCATGTTCTTCTTTCAAACCTACATTTTAAAATTTTCTTTAAAAAAAGGGGGGGTGAGGGGGACAGTTCAAAATTGTTTGCACTGAATTATCAGCATTCCTGGTGGTCCTGAAACTTACCTTTTTGTCAGAGTTTTTATTATGGCTGTAGTGGGACAAAAACAGCAAAGTGAAGGAGGACAAAATAGACTGTGAAACAAGCATGATTCATATTATATTATTGCAAAATATTAAAAGGGACCAGAAGTATGGTAGATATTTGTTCTCTTGGCTCTGTTACCTGACGTCTCACCTCTTAAGAGTTTAGCAAAAGATGTTAGCTCTTTTCCCTTTGATCTATTTTATTATGACTTTCAATGATTTGTCTGAAGTCTTTATGGTAAGGCCTCAAAACTTAGGCTCACCTAAGTCATCTTTACAATACTGAGTAGTACCGTACTGTATGTGGGTTCACTAGAGGACTTAAGTTTAAGAAAGACAGTGATTTGGGGGATAAAGTTCAGTTAAGTCTTGGTAGAATGTTAGCTAAATAATGATCTTTAACTTTTCAGGTATGTGTCCAATGGATCTGTATACTTTGATACTATGAAGTTTGATTCCAGTGAAAAGCACTCCTATGCTAAGTTGGTTCCTGAAGCTGTAGGTGATCAAAAAGCTCTTCAGGAGGGTGAAGGTAAAAAGGGGAAAATAGCATTTACTTAAGTTGCTGAAGAAACTGATGATGTGTTGATCTTTTCAATTGATTTCACTGATGTTTGCGTCAAAGCTACTGTTGAATAGTTTACCTGCTGCACTTCCTTTACCAATAAATTTCTTTTCCAAAGTTTTGTAGCTTGAGCCAGCACTTTCCTGGAAGTTTTAAATTGGAAAATACCAAGAAACGTTGTTCCTTCTAGGATGTTTTTTGGTTGGTTTTCTTTGTTTGTTTGTTTGTGGGGTTTTTTTTGTCAGAATTGTCAATAGCTCATTCATTTGACTATAGCCCAGTTATTTAGCTGTTCAACTGGTTCAAAGTAGGAGGAGCAAAGACTTGAAGGTGGGTCTTCCACGTGCCAGGTGAAAACTCTCCACATCAGGCTGTGGTTATTTCATGACAAATATTTGAGTTCCTCTTTCATACTGAGAACTCTTTTGTGCTTTGTAAACCTTGTTGTGTTGAACTAAATCCAAATGCAGATTTTTTTTTTTTTTTAGTCAAGCCATAGCAGAGGAGTAGCTTAAAATGCTCAATAAACCAGACTCACTAGTTATCTGCTCTTAAGGTTGTACAGTTTTAGTAGCAAATCATCCACAAAGAAGAATATTAAAAGTTTTTTAAATAACACTCATACTAGGTGAAATTAAGGCAGCCATACTAGGCGAAACTAGCAGTATCTGAGAGATGCAGCTTAAAATGGAGGTGATTTATTTTTCTTCTTAATTCAAACCCTTATAGATGAAATCTTCTCTGTGAAATAAAAGGTGCTACCTTAAACCACCATCTTTGTGGTAACATGAATGTATCATTTCCACCATGTAACCAGTCACTTTTGTTGAATTGTTGTGTACTTTTGCAAATAGGAACTAATGCTGAATGATTAATGTAACTAACCAAGGGTACGCATACATCAAGTTATTGCTTGTCAGCTTTGCTGCTTTGACTCATTTGTGATGATTACCCTGACGGATAATGTCATTTTGACTATTACAGGCAGCAGAAATGCTAAGCTTTGAAAGTCGCAAATAATGTAAATAAAAGCATAATACTTTTATATTTAAAGTGCATAATGTTAGATATTCTAAACAATTGAGATTGCGTGTTTCTCAACCTGTACTGTTCTCAACCTGTACTACAAAATTGACAAGCTTAATCTTGACAATTTTGTCTTTAATCTGTCCTGGATTCTTATGCGGTAGGTGGTATTGTTAACTACTTTTAATCTGGGACAGTACTGCAGAACTGGTAAATTCCTTTTGTTTTAAAGATGTTATAATGAGAGTAACACCTAAACGATCCTGAGGAGCTAGCAGCAAATAATGCATAACATATCTGTGATGGTAATAAAACAGTAAACATAGGTATTGAACAACTACCAGCCATTCTGTTCAGCAACTGAGATTGGAGGTGGAAGAAATATCCTATGATCAAGTTGTGTATGCAGATTAAGACAATCCTAGTCTTAATTTAGGTCCTTTTAGTTTTGGATTTAACTGATTCTGCAGTTTTACTTGTCTGTGAGTACAGGGGTTTTTGTTTCTATATTTCTTTTTCTGTAATTGCGATGTTGGAATTGTGCCTGCAGAGAGAATGTATGTGAATCTCATGTCAAAGCTTAGAAAGCAGTGCAGCTGACGCTTGTCAGTTTTTCTGTCAACCAAACATTAATCAAATGAATCTCATGTCAAAGCTTAGAAAAAAGTGCAGCTGATGCTTGTTGTCAGTTTTTCTGTCAACCAAACATTAATCAAAACCCCAAAGGATTATCAAGGTTAATTATGAGGAATTTTGAGGGCTGAGTGATTTTCTTTTCTTTTCTATTTATTTATTTTTTTAATTCACTTGATGTGAGGTACAGCGAAGCCAAAAAATCAATAATTCTGGTGTTTAAATAAAATTTATATGTTTACATTTTCTCTTTTGAAAGGTGACCTGAGCATCTCAGCTGATCGCTTAAGTGAGAAGCATTCTCCAAATGATTTTGCTTTGTGGAAATCCTCCAAGCCAGGAGAGCCCTCATGGGACTCTCCGTGGGGAAAAGTAAGGACATTATAATCAGGATTTAGATCACCTTTTAAATAGCATGTTACACAAATATTTTGCCTAAGCTTATATTAATAAAGTATAGATTGTGGAGATCTTGTATTCAATCATAGATTCTGTTGCTATGCTAATTTAATAATTTAGAATGTGTATCAATCTGTCTGATGCTTTTTAAACAGAAGTCTGCTTGCAGGCTCACAATGGCTGTTACCGGTCATTTGTCCTCTCTTTATCCATAGGCTTTATCTGCAGTATTTTCTGTATCCTTTTTTTTCCTTGTGATCAAAAATATTTATGTAATTTTTAGAAGAATAATAAGCAGGATAATCAAAGCATCACAGATTTACATGCCATATTTGATCTTTAAATCCAGCAGTATACTTTTACGAAGCTGAGACTGAGAATCTTTTTTTCTTGATAGCACATTTCCTCAGGTGTGTAACTGCTTAGGGGCAGACCAGTGAGGGAATGGTACAGAAGGAGGAGACTGCAATTAACCAGTAGCCGAGTAATGTCTTTTTCTTAACAGGGTCGTCCAGGTTGGCACATTGAGTGTTCCGCAATGGCTGGATCCATTCTAGGACAGTCGATGGATATTCATGGAGGAGGGTTTGATCTCCGATTTCCCCACCATGACAATGAACTGGCACAGTCTGAGGTGAATGAACTGGCCTTCAGTTTCTGCAGTGAAAAAGAGACATGCTTTGCTTTGACTGCAACTTACACAAATCCATCAATTAATTTTTAAAACTTCATGTGTGTTTTATATAAGCATAACTTTTTCTTCTCAGGATTTTATTCTTCAGTTATCCTACTTCATGATATGTATATAAACAGCGTTGGGTCTTTGGGGTTTTTTGTCTTTGCTGCAGGCATACTTTGAAAATGATCACTGGGTTCGGTATTTTCTGCATACTGGCCACTTAACAATTGCTGGCTGTAAAATGTCCAAATCTTTGAAGAATTTCATTACCATAAAAGATGCACTGAAGAAACATACAGGTAAAAATGGCTTTGGAATTTGAATGCTTTTGATGTACTTTGAGTGGTGACTGTGGTAATTTTGTTACTCAGGCACATAATAGAGTTTCCAAAAATGACTAATGTCAGGTGCCTGTCTTCTTCACTAACTTTAGAACAGCTTCCTTGTTCTTCTGTTCCTTGTTGGTATTATCTGTATAGGTAATAGTGTTCTTGCTTTTTTGGTAGGTGTATGATAGTAAGAATATTAAAAATTATGTTCTTAGCCACTGCAGTATTGGAGGCTATAAAAGTGCTTTAGATTATGATTATTTTCCTTGTTTATTTTGAAACTCCTAATAGCACGACAGTTACGGTTGGCTTTCCTCATGCACTCTTGGAAGGATACACTGGATTATTCAAATAATACCATGGAGTCAGCTATTCAGTATGAGAAGTTTATGAATGTAAGTAAGCTTTCGTTTCCTCTTCCATCTCTCTGAGCTTTGTGTTATCATATGTGTTTCAAGGAATAGAACCCAAGAATATATAGCCCATGTCCACAGACTGAGTTTGCCTTCTGAATTCATCAAGTGGGATGTCACAGTATTTATTGAGCTACCATTGAGCATTCAAGTCATGCAAATTCCACAGCTACATTTCTCTGCAGCTGGGTGCCCTCTCCAAGTTTAGACATCTCTGAGCAGCTTGGCACTTACACGCAAGATTAGTTTCTCAGTTCAGCTGGCTTACAGGACTCAGTCCAACAGACACTCTCATAACATGACTACCAGATCAGACTTTACACAAATATAGCCAAAGGCGAAGAGGAAGTATCATTCCTACCTTGTCTTCTCACCACATGCATCGAGCATTTGCCTCTATGCCTTGCGGGCATATGGGAGAAGCCAGGCACAGTTCCCTTCCCAGCTTAGTTTGGAGCTGTGATTTAAACCCACATTTCCCACAAGGAGGCTGTACAACATTTTGAGATTATTGATCTTGGTCTTTACAACTGAAGCTATTCTGCTTTTTATGTAAAATGTTTCATTTGGGTCACAGAATAAGTGACAATGACTTTTCACCAGGCTGGATGCCCACATAAAATACACCCTCACTATAAAGCCATTTTTATTCTTCAGCTTCCATTGCTAGCAACACACTTAAAAATCTGCCATAAAAACTCTCTCCTAAACTTTTAAAAATGGTATTGTATTTGAGCAGCTTGGTGTTGAAAGCATAAACTTCAGGAGGCTAATTAAGAAATAATGCCTTTTTGTAGTAAATTCATTTACTACATAGTCTATTCTAAACTGATTTTTAGCTGTACTCTTCTTTTATAGGAGTTCTTTTTAAATGTGAAGGATATTCTTCGAGCTCCCACTGATGTGACAGGCCAGTTTCAGAAATGGGAAAAACAGGAAGCTGAGCTGAACAAAAAGTGAGTGGAGTGTTCCTCCTCTGTGAATAGCCATTGTGTAGCTACGTTTAATTCTTTTTTTCCTTGCAAAATGACTTACTTTGTATATAGAGATATTTATAAGTCCGTAGCATTTCCACTGAGTATCCCAGCTCTATACAAGCTAGTGAATTTAATCTTGCAACAGCTTTATGAAGTGTAGATGAAATTGTTAATTTCCCTTTCATTTAAGTACACTGGTGTACCTCATTGCCCTGTTTGTGAAGGGAAAG